ATATCTTTAAGTGCGCCTATTAATAACTTTCTATTAGACATATTCTTCCTAAACATTGGCCTGATTTGAAAAAAAAGTATGGTTATGGTGGTTGGATACAAATGGACCATTATGAACCGGTAATTTTAGAAGTTACATTTAATCTCTTTAAAAATAGAATTTACGTGTTAATATGAAGTTCATATATTCAAATTTAGGGCAAAGCAAGAATGCTTCTTGACGGAAAAAATTTCCGTGAAGTTCAATGTAATTGCTGGTCCGCCGAAGAAAGAATACGAGAATGTAACGCTTTTGATGTAGATGTTCAGGTATTTTCACCTTTTCATTTCCTTTATTCTTTAAATTAATTCACGCCGTTAATCGTTTAATTTGATTGGAATTAAAGGTTCTATCCACTGTACCCGTAATGTTTTCGTATTCTGCAAAACCTCAACATACGCTCGATTTGGCGCGTTATCTAAATGATCACATTGCACAAGTCTGTGCTGAAGATCCGAAACGGTTTGTCGGTCTTGGTACTCTTCCAATGCAATCTTGCGAACTTGCAGTCGGGGAATTACGACGATGCATTATTGAGCTTGGGCTCGTTGGTATTCAGATTGGAAGTCATATAAATGAATTGAACTTGGATGCTCCAGAATTGGAGCCTCTTTGGGAGGTGAGAATAATATGGCTTACTCTTTATGGCTGATTTCATTTATCCTCAAATATTTGATTTTTTTAAGGCATGTGAAGAACTTAATGCCGCTGTGTTTGTACATCCATGGGTAATTAGTTGAGATTTTTTATTGTGCACTATAAAATTAGTACTTTTTGATTTACGGAATTATATTTAGGATATGGAGAATAAAGGACGTATGGAAAAATACTGGTTTCCATGGTGTGTATCTATTTATTCGGTAATGGATAAATTCCTTCGGACTATCTATAACTAATATTATTGCGGTTTATTTGTAGGCTTGTTGGAATGGTGAGTTATAGATTTTTATATTATTTTATGTATCTATTTATTGATTCTCTTATTTTGACCTTTTGCATTAAATACTTAAAATAGCCATGCGAGACTACCATTTCAATCTGCTCACTAATATTTGGTGGTGTTTTAGAACGACACCCGAAACTTAAAGTGTCTTTTGCACATGGAGGCGGCTCTTTTCCCGGAACCATTGGACGAATCGTTCATGGTTTTAATGTGAGACCGGATTTATGTGCCACAAAAATAACCAAAAGTCCTCTGTATGTACGCATTTTATGTATTAATCTACGCAATGAAACTCTCGATGTTTTATAATATTTAATTTTGTTTATTTTTATATATTAATTTTCAGTGAATATATCAATCGAATATACGTTGATTCATTAGTTCATGACGAGGACACCCTGAAATTCCTCATCAAAAAAATGGGTATTGACCGAATTATGTTGGGCAGCGACTACCCGTTCCCCCTTGGTGAGCATCATCCCGGAAAGTTAATTGAGGAATGTGACGCGTTAAGTGATGAAGATAAGGAGAAACTTTTGAGTGGCAATGCTTTGAAGTTTCTGGGAATCGAAGATAAAAAGGACCTGTTTATACAAAAGTAAAAAAGCTTGTAGTGGATTTTGGTGCTTATGTGAATCTAAATCTTAAGATCCATTTTGACAATTTATTATATAGACATGGATACTATAAGTGATTTAAATGTTTCATAGACTCAATAATTTATTACTATTACACACAGAACATTTTCCTTGATTTATTATATAAATAAAAGATCAAATCAAATCATGTTATAAGAGTCCCATTATTCAATACAAGTCAGTCTCTGTGAAATCGACACTAAATCCTTGATCATGCAACAGCTTGTTCCTTAACTTTTCTCGTTTCTGACGGGCCTCCATCTCTTCACGTTGTGCACTCAAAATTTCCTCAACTGGTCGTTGACGTAATGGTACCTCGTCTTCTTTGTCTAAATCCTATATAAGATGAATTTGTTTAATTAAATTCAACTACAAGCTTCACTGTAGGCATAATTAAATAAAATATTTCCTTTACACACAATTTCTCCTAATAATACTACGTTCTCTCCACGTATAATAAAAATTCCACGTGGAATATCCCCATACGCATCACCAACATAAATTCGCTCTATCGTATCTTGTAGTACTAGGTTTGCTTTTTTTTATTTTTTAAATATGAAATACAATCAACTGTTAAAACAAAACATCAAAACGAATCTCAAAATTGATCCAGTTAATTGATAGAGTTCATACCAAATTGATCGAATGACCTTAATACGCCAATAAGTTTTCTCCCATCTCTCAGAACCACCAGTAATTTTCCTTTTGAACAAGAAAAGAAAACTCGATATAAGAGATTAAAATGAATAATTAAACTAAGAAATAGAAGCATAAATTCAAAATCAGACAACAGCAATTTGACTATGTTCCATCCTCAAACTATAAAGAGCATAAAATACTTTACTATCTACACTATCCACCAAACTAGCCGAAGTAGTAAATATTTGTCCTTGTAGATAATTATCCATTTATTTAACGCTTAGATGTAAAGAAATAAATAAGATTTTCGTCGATCATTTACAAATTGATTAATTTTTCTCTGCATAACAAGGAAGTAAACGATGTTTAGCAGAAATCAATCGATCTTACATGCATCGATCGTAATTTGTGATGGGCAAATTTCCCCACTTATACGCATATTGATCGACATACTGGTATAAATCATATTTTCCACTTTTGTCAACTATTTCTGTGGTTGGATACCTTTGCGTGGGAAATACGAAAAGCTCTTACGTCTTGTATTAACAACTTCTTTCCTAGAAAAGAACAACTTCTCAAAGCGAAAAAAGACTGGGTAATGGTACGTATATATTTTCAATTTTAATAGAATTAGAAATGTGTATGATATAACATAGCGAGTGGATTTTATAAAGCAATTAGGATTTCTAAGAGATCCGAAAGAGTATATCTCAAGTAGTCTCACGTTTTGTAAGCAATTAGGGATAGACTTCTCTCTGTTTTTATAAGCAATTAGGGATTCGAAAGAGTATATCTCAAGCAGGATCCACGCATACAGTCATTTAGAACAGACACGGCATTAAAAACTCGGATAAATTAATATATCGTATATTAATATCTTTTTAGGGTAAATATAAATGCACTCTCGATTAATGCATATAATCGCGAAGTTTTCTGATAACTATGACGACTATGAAGAAATAATCGATAATGATCATGAAATAACCGATGGTATTAACGATAAGGTGGATGCTGTCGAGTATTCCCCCAAGATCGCCTTGGGGTCATTTTAATTGGCGATCCAGGTGTCTTTACAAGTGAAGGATTTATCCCTTGTGGAGTTCAACAGTTACGAAATAAAAAAACAAAACAAAAAATGCAAGTCACTACTAATTTTTGTTAATTATATATAATAAACTAACAGATTCTTATTTGGGTACGTAAATTTCAACGGTCTTGAGAATCATATGGGATAACAAAAAAGAAAGGGTTAGATTTAAAGGATCTATTACTTAAAGGTATCAATAATGATGAGATGTCAAAAATCAACCAAATTCTTTATAAAATTGGAGTGAAATTATTCGGATTCAAACATCACTTCTCTCAGATGAGAAAGGTCCGTATAATGCCATTTTTGGAGAGGATCACAAGTCAGGCTCAAATGTGATTGACCAATTTTTAAAGAAATTGAAAGTTCTTTTTCTGGACTGAAACTTAACAAGACTGCGTGAAAAAGTAAACTAAATTCTTTTTCAAATATAGTAAATATAAAAATTTAGTGTTCCCTCGGTGAAAATACTAGGTATATCTGGTTTTAATGTCCGTGCTTCGACAGAAGGTGTTAACAATGAACCAATAATTAACGAGATATTAAAGCTTCGAAATGGTAACAACGTCTTCTATTTTATTTAAATACCAAAGAAGTTCAAAATCCTTTAATTTTTTAAAAAGAGGAGGCATCGCTTCTAGGCTTTCCCCATTTCGCGGCTTTATCGCTTTCACACAAGATGGGAGATACACTAGAATCTGCTAATAAACTTATCCAGGCCATCTTTGAAGCTGCGATGCCTGTTGCCAAACGTGAATTCGAGGAACTTACGCTCTTTGCCAAAAATCAACTTGAGCTAAACTTGCAAATTAAACCGTGGGCCGTGCAATATGTAGCCGAAGAATATCGAAAACATCTGTTCAAGTATTCTGGCGACGAAATATCTAAATACTTTACATTCATAAAGTGATTAATGTATTGTTTGAGTTGACGGAAGAACTTCTGGGAGTCCGTGTACAGGAGGTTGATCAGGAAAAAGAGGGGTTCACAACTTGGCACGAAGATGTTAAAGTGCACAAGATGGTGGATAAGTCTACTGAGGCACCTTTTATGGAGATTTTTATAGGTTGGAAAGATCAATTTGCACCGATAAATAATATTTTTGAAATGTCATAGTCGTTCGGAAGAAAAAAAAGCTATGCATGGATGGGTATTTGTGCTACCAGAAGCAAGGATTTCAAAACAGGCCAAATACGATTACCAGTAGGTACTTATAATTATTTTATTATGTATATTATTCGATGCTTTTGTCACCCATCAAATACTCTAACATTTAGGATATATGAATTGCAAGATAAAAGTATTCTTTAAATACAAAATTATTATTATAAAAAATATCTAAATATCTTAAAGATATAACTTTATATCTTGAGAAATAATTATATAAATTTATAAACAAAGTTATAAATATATAAATTAAGAAATAAATATATAAATTAAGATATAAATATATAATTAAACAAATAAATATTACATAATATAAATTAATTAAATTATAATTAATAATATATATTATATTATAATAAATATAATTATCTAATAAAATATGAATAAAAATTAAATAAAGTAATAAAATAATAAGTAAAAATTTTAATTTTAATAATGTATATAATATTTTAAAAAATAATATATTAAGTTTTTTAATTTATATAAATTATTTAAACTTTCTTATATATTTTAAAAATTATAAAATTATATAAAAATATATAATATTAAATTTTAAAAATTTTTATTTAAATTATTTAAGCTAATTATTATAAAAAATTTTAAATTATTAATTTTAATTTAAAAAATTATTTAAATATTATTTTAAAATTATTTAATAATAATACTAATTTTAAATATTAAAAATTTAATTATATTTATAAATTTCTAAGTTATAATTATTTTATTATTATATTAAATATTATTTCTTTTTATCAAGTATTATATAATTATAAATTAAATTTTCTTTAGAATTTTTTTATTCTTATTTTATATATTTAGGTTAATTATTATTTTTATTATATTTATTTATAATTTTTATTTTTTATATTTAGTTAATAATAAATATCTTTTGAAAGTATTATTTTTAATTAATAATAAAAAATTATATAATATTATTATTTTATATGATTTAAATTATTATTTAAAGATACAGTCAGTATAAAAAGTAATAACAGATATATTTTTCACCTATAACTTAATAAGAAATTACTAAAAATTTATGAAAATTTGGCATTATATTCTTTAAAATAATAGAAATAAATTTTCTAAGATCACAAAGCATATTAACATAGTAATATTTTGTGAAGTCATATGCTAAAGATGACAGATTGGAAGATTATCCTGATTAAAATACTATAAAAAAATTATTTAAAAATATTTTTTATAAGTAAGTATGAAAATAATTTTATAAAAATATATTTAAAGATATAGAAAA